TCCAAACTTTTTATTTTGTAACTTGTTCAGGGTTTTAATACTAATTTTAATAAAACCAGAGGCACGAGGTAGCTTATTTTCGTTGGTACCGCAAGGTGCAGGCTAAAAAACTAACAAAATATTTGCTCCAAATAAGACTCGAGTCATAGTTTGGAACATTTGCTCGATGTCGATAAGAAGATTTTGTTATTAGTTAAAAGTTTATTAGTTATCAGTACTTTATGTAATTATCCTGATAAACACATGAAAGTTGAACGCCCTGTATAATAGACCGTGAGCTAGCGCACATGGGTGTGGCGTCATCGAAAAATGTCTGGCATTTTGAGGTCTGAAAAAGGTAAGTTAGTTAATGGAAATAAGGGCCGACCCATGTCCGAAAATTTGGAAAATTAATTTCCTTTTGCATAAAATAATTCGTTTTTCACTCATCTTAAAGTGTCTGGCAGTTCATGCAAAAATAGACATTAATAAGTACCTAACAATTCTCAAATGCCAGACGGTTTTAAATAGCCGAAAAGGTGGTTCATAGGGGTGAACTTGGAAGAAAAAAAAAATTCATCGTTTAGTTTTTGTCTGGCAATCGAAACAATGAAAATGGAAAAATTGTGCCAGACAAAAGAAAATTCGTAAAAATATATTAAAGTTTAAATGATTTACATTTGTCTGGCATAAACACAATATACCAATGCCAGACAAAATGAGGTGTTCGAAAATGTATAAATGAATTGAAAAGTTATAAAAAAATTAATTAAAACTTGGTTTTCTTTTTTTTTCTAATTATTTTTATCTCGCATTTTGCATTACTATTGAAAATACATATTTATACTTCAGGTTAAAACGCCAGACAAGTTGGGTTGTTCGAGAATTAAAAAAAAAATTAAATTAATTTAGATTGTTGTAAAAAAATTAATGAAGACTTCAGTGTCTTTTTTTTGTCTGGCAATTCGTTTTTTGACGATGAATTTCACCCCTATGAACCACCCTTTCGGCTATTTAAAACCGTCTGGCATTTGAATATTGTTAGGTACTTATTAATGTCTATTTTTGCATGAACTGCCAGACACTTTAAGATGAGTAAAAAAACTAATTATTTTATGCAAAAGGAAGTTAATTTTCCAAATTTTCGAACACGGATCGGCCCTCAAAACCACCCTTATTCTCATTAACTAACTTACCTTTTTCAGACCTCAAAATGCCAGACATTTTTCGATGACGCCAGAACCATGTGCGCTAGCAGATTTCCAGAAGATGGAAACCCCAGCGTACATTTCCATTAGAACGCGGTCAAACCTCGACAAAACGCATATAAAATGAACTGTGCCAAATTCCATTTAATAATAACTAATTTTGCGGGCAATTATTACACTAAAAGCGCTAAAGTGTTATTAGCCTAGTTCTCAAAGGGTCATCAAAAGGTCAACAAGTAGTAAATTGGTGCTTCGAGGGTGGTTTCAGTGAGACGTTATTAAAGTGACCCCTTCAAGACGACAAAGTTAACCATATGATCTTTACGGTGCCACTAAATATACGGGCATAATGGACTTCCATTTTGCAACGGGATATAATTTTTATACACTTTAACGACCCTTGAAATACTAACAGCGCTTTCATTAAAAATGTACAGGGAAGTGTAATATTTCACAGACAGAATACTACTTAATTTTCAACTTATGCACATCTCATTCAATTCTGTGGTTCTGACATATTTAATCAAACATCAGGTGTGTCTCAGGGTTTGATACTTGGTCCACTGTTATTTATTCTTTTCATTAATGATATTGCGGATAATCTTAGCATTTACTTCTTGCTGTATTCTGATTTAAAAATCTATAAATGACTATAAAAAACTTATTTGAATTTACTCAGGTGTGACAATAATCGACTTTTAAACGTTTCTAAATATAAAGCCGCCTTGTTCCCGTAAAAGTAACTCTATTCGGTTTCGCTACAGGTTAGGTGAGCATGTGTTGGACAAATCTGGTTGTACCAAAGATCGTTAGACAAAGTGCAAAGGGGATTCTTTAAACCAGCAAGCTTTATTTACGTTGAGACTTGTCTGGCTTTTCGCAGGACTTATTTTTGTATAGGTTAAATATCAACTTTCCTTATCTCTATCCTCAAATAATTTTTATTTTAATATAAATTTCCATTTAGAAATTGTTTTTCAGAAAATTTGTCACGCTTTAGAAACAAACACTAGCAAATGGCAAAAATCATACTGCAATGTTACATTTGCGCAACATTTGTTTTTAATCGCCCTTTTATAGTCTTCGTTAGAGTAAATACACACTTTTATTTCCTTACATACTTTTTATGACTTCCTTTCTTAAAACACGTACTCTTAAGGCTAGAAATTAATACAAAAACTAACAAAGAAGCAAAATTAATATACGTTTTTGTACACAAATACACAAATTCAAAAAAATGCCTTTATTGCTATGACGTCGAGTTATTTTTTAAATAAAAAAAACAATTCGAGTAAAAATTAACCTTTTGTGATGTAGAGAGTACCATTACAGCTTGGAATATGGGGCTTCTCTATGTTAAATTAGATTTTATCCGTAAATTGGTTAGTTACGCTATAAATATTATCAACTAATTGCCCTAACACCAATGCACGCTTCAAAGAAGGGAATATTTTACTTGGCTCTCATTCGGCAAATTATGGCCAGCAGCCAGATCTCTAAGTTAGTGCTTTAAATGCGATATTTTACTAGTATTTTATTACGCATTTAGTTGGATTAGGAAACCGTTTAAATACGAATTAGCACTTACAGGGCGTTCCAAATTTATTACGCCGGTATAAGTGCGTAAAGTACTTTTTGTATTATCGCGCGTAAAGTGCTAACTTTACGTTTGTTCGTCTTTACGTAAATAAAATTGAAAGACAAAGTACAATAACTTCGAATCTTCCTCTAAAAAAAAATATAATATATCTTTAGCTGATTTTTCGGTGCAATTTACTCTGCTTCTTCAGAAAATGGTACTATTTCGGCGACATTTTCAATCGTCATATGGAAACAGCAAACAAATTTAAACTGCCAAAAAATCATTAAATAACAAAAGTCAATACGATTATGCTAGATCACCAGATCTGACTTCGACAGATCTCTTTTTGTGGGGCTATCTCAAAGACAAAGTTTACAAACAAGAACCAGCAATACGTGAGAATCTGCGAATCAGAAATGCATGCGCCAAAATTCAAGCAGACACTTCTCAGTTGTACAGCCGTTTGATATGGTACTCACGTAATTAAAGTACCATGTCAAGTGAGACGCGAAGGAACTCTCACGAATCAAGTATCCGATAGGTGAGAGGCGAGAACACTCACCTGAATCAAGCACCTTGATATGTGAGACGCAAAGGGACTCACGTAAGTCAAGTACTATGACAAGTGAGAGGCGAAGGGTCTCACACAAATCAAGTACCCGACGGGTAAGAGGCGAGACCACTCACCCGAATTCAGCACCTTGATACGTGACAGGCAAAGGGACTCACGTAAATCAAGTACTATGACAAGTGAGGGGCGAAAGGACTCACGTAAGTCAAGTACTATGACAAGTGAGAGGCGAAGGGTCTCACACAAATCAAGTACCCGACGGGTAAGAGGCGAGAACACTCGCCCGAATTCAGCACCTTAATACGTGACAGGCAAAGGGACTCACGTAAATCAAGTACTATGACAAGTGAGGGGCGAAAGGACTCACACAAATCCAAATCAAGTATCCGACTGAGAGGTGAGAACACTCACCTGAATCAAGAACCTTGATACGTGAGAGGCGAAGGGACGCACGTAAATCAAGTACTATGACAAGTGAGATGCGAAGGGACTCACACAAATCAAGTACCCGACAGGTGAGGGGCGAGAACACTCAACTGAATCAAGCACCTTAATACGTGAGAGTCGAAGGGACTCACGTAAGTCAAGTACTATGACAAGTGAGAGGTGAAGGGACTCACACAAATCAAGTACCCGATAGGTGAGAGGCGAGAACACTCACCTGAATCAAGACCCTGATAGGTGAGAAGCGAAGGTACTCATGTAAATCAAGTACTATGGCAAGTGAGAGGCGAAGGGACTCACGTAAATCAAGTACTATGATAAGTGAGAGGTGAAGGAGCTCACACAAATCAAGTAACCGACAGGTGAGAAGCGACAACACTCACCTGAATCAAGCACCTTGATACGTGAGAAGCGAAGACGTTAATCAAGCACGCCGAAGAGAATAGGAAGCTACTACGTCCACATCGTTGTTTCTGCGTTGCGCTACCAGGTAACAATTTCTCAGTTATTCGAAATTTGCAAAATGAAGAAACATTTTTGACCACGAATTTCGAGTACTTACATTAAACGGTATTTTTTATTGCAGAATCGTATGCGTGGGAGAAATAAAAAAAATTTCGTTAATTTAACATTATTTCTACAAAAAATCGTCAGTGGTGTATTTTTTTCTTGGGAAAACGGAGCGCCACCTTCAGTAGCACGCCACTGGTGAATGCCACGAGGTTAATATTACATTCAGTATAAGATCTAATTAAATGAATACGCTGTAGTAAATTTCATTCAAATCGTTCGGTACAATAAGAAGATACGACAGAAAATATATATTTTTTTTTGGAAACTTAAACATCCTGTATCTCGAATACCACGTCCCCCAGGAAAAAGTTTATACAACAAATTCTTCTGATTTTTTGGCAACTAATCTATTCCTGTAGTTTCTGTATTTAAAGTGAAATTACCCTGTATATTGTTTAAAAAACTTGTATAGCACATATTTTCGCTACTTTATTCTCATTATAATTTTATGAAGCGCCATTTCGCCGTATCGCCGTGCTCTTATAATTAACGAAAACACCCATCGCTATAGTTTATTTCGTTTTCGGGCTCCTAGACGGTTCCTTTTGAAACCGGCTAGAACAAATTATAAGCAGCGTGATGTATGTAGTGTAATCTGAGCCATGAAAGTAAGTAATATTCCAGATTACACGCACGTCCTTACCTTGTACGCTCCTAAATTTTCCACCACGCAGGGAAGGCTGGCGTCTCTCCCTAAGGCTACGGTCACATTGGGGATGGGCTCTGCGAACCTCGGATCGTCCGTCATCGCTGAAAATTAAAAACAAATTGTCAGCAATTTAAAAATACACAACACATTATTTTCACACATGAAATAAAAAAATTGAGTCACTGCATGACTGTGTGTGTGTGACACTGAGTGAGTGTGTGTGACACTGTGTGAATGTGTGTGTACACTGTGAGTGTGTGTGTGACACTGTGTGAATGTGTGTGTACACTGTGTGAGTGTGTGTGTGACACTGTGTGATACAGAGTGGACTTTAGAAAATCCATACAGAGAAGACGGGATCTCGTTTTTAATGATACCTATACATTTTAAGCTAATGCTACACTTTATTCAGAATTCCTCGAATATAGTTATATATTTTAAGAATATTAAACGCTCGAACTACGTTCTCGCTTTTAAACATTCTTGCGTGGATAAAATGCTACTTAAAACACTTATACAATAAATAACTATATGACAACAAATTATTAATTTATGAAATAAATAAAGGTTATTAAATATTCCGTAGTGATTTAGAAATGCAAAAATAAGGACTAATTTGAACATGTTTACCTGCAAGGAATATGCTGAATACCAATCACTGACAATTCAGATGAAACAGTGTTAACGGCTTAAAAAATACCATAAAGAAAAAAGTCTCATTCACTGATTAAACCAGACTTTGTTATTTGCTTCCTAATAATTCGGTAGATGCTTTCACCCTCCATCTGCCAACCGATACAAATGTCAATATTGGTCAAAAGGGACAAAAGCAATTCGAGCACCTAATGCCTTTTCAACTGCCCTTAGTGTTTATCTTTTTATTTCCTGCCTCCAAATTTTTACGATACACAGAATTTGCCCACTTAAAACTACACGTTAAAAAAATACCAGGCGTATTTGTTCTCGTCGAGATATTTTCGAAGGGACACGGGTGGGAACCGAAAGTTGAGTAGTTTTTTCAATAATAAAAGCGGTTACAAGTTTTGACGTATGGTGGTGGTTAGAATATTTTTATGTTTAATTACACTAGTCTCAGAAATTAAAGGATAAAAAAATCCTAAATTCTTAGATGATTTTCAGAAGGCAGTAATTTTTGTTTCTTTTTTTTTTTCGATATTCGCCATTTGTTGGCGAAAAAGAATACGGATTTTTGCAAAAAAAAAACATTTTCAATTTAAAAAATGAATAAAAGATGTAAAATTTATCCTTTTTTTTAGCAAAAGTGACAATTTCAATCATTCGGATCACAATGAAAGAAAAATCGCAGCGGCTGTAACTCTCGAGAATTTCTTTGGGATACTTTTAGGTTAAAAAAACTAACTAGCCATTTCCCCGTTACCACCCTCACACACCCCCTTCTGGGAGTTGAAATGACAATTCTCAAACATAGTCGAGTAGGGTGTGTGTCGAGGGGCGATCCGCTGAGGAAAAAACGTACGAAGATTACAAAATTTCTGAAATCTCTTGTAATGTATCTGCAGATTTCAATATCGATTAAAAAAAAAAATTACAAATTTCATATAAATAATCAAGATTACAATATCTTTCAACCGATTACAAAACATTTCAGGAGATTTCAGAGTTATTTTAGTAGATTTCAATGATTATTTAAGATTTCAATAGGATTATTCGAAATTAAAAGAAGATTTCAAAATTTCTTAATAATATTTCAAGGAATACGGGAAGATTACAATAAGTTTTGAATGTCCATTTGAACAAAAATAATTGAATTAACTTCAACTGTCATTCATTTCATTCATTAACAGTAGTGCTTTGATTAAGAATTTCCAGTATCATTTTTACGCAAAAATTGTAACATTCTGATTAAGTTTTTGTTCGAATGAACGTTAAAAACTTTTTGTCATGACAAAAATGATAACGCCATTTTGAAAGTAGGTAAGTATATATTTTTATTGAAAGATAAAAATATAATAATCCAATAAACTAATAAAAATAAAAAAATAGAAGTAACATAAAATAAACATTTTCCCAAAAAATAAATAATAAGAAATATTTTAAGCTTTTATTAACACTTGTATTTAATACTTTACCTGTATACAGTGTATTTATAAAAGACGCGGCAAAATTTAAGGGGGTGATTGCCCAGATCATTTTATAAAAAAAGTTCCTATAAACATACGTCCGCAAACACTTCGTTACTGATCTATAGAATGTTGATATTTCATTAAAAAAACAGTAAAAATTAAATTTCTCCAAAACCTCTTGATATTATAATGAAATTTTAGGCCTGTCAATAGCTATGGCAGACACGTACTTTGCAATACAAAACGATTTTTTAGTCTTACCAGTGACTAGCTATTTTTAATGAAAAAAATAGGACCCCGCTGGTTTTTCTAAAAATATAATTTTTTAATTCCTTGTTCAATTATGAAGAAGAAAGCTTTCCTCAGATTATACGCACCGTACGTCACACCGTTATTGAGTAAAAAAATAAAAAACATTTTATTGCGCACCTAAACCCAATGTTGTTTTAATTGAGAAATTTAAATTATTGAACAAAGAAATTCAAATTATCAAATTTGATTGATTTTTGAAATGTGGTACATACTGTTGTTTGTAGTAGGTAATAATAAGGGGCTGCGTTTTAGAGAAATTTAATTTTTACTGTTTTTTAATGAAATTTCACATTCTGTAGATCGGTAACGAAGCGTTTGCGGACCTATGTTTATAGGACTTTTTTTATAAACTGACCTGAGCAATCACTCCCTTAAATATTGCCGCGTCTTTTTTAAACACACTGTATACAAGTAAAGTATTAAATGCAAGTATTAATAAAAGCTTAATATATTTTTTATTTATTAGTTTTTGGGAAAATACTTACCTACTTTCAAAATAGCATTATCATTTTTGTCATGACAAAATGTTTTTAACGTTCATTCGAACAAAAAACTTAATCAGAATGTTACAATTTTTGCCCAAAAAATGCCTGATACTGGAAATTCTTAATCAAAGTACTACTGTTAATGAATGAAATGAATGACATTTGAAGTTAATTCAATTATTTTTGTTCAAATGGACATTCAAAACTTATTGTAATCTTCCCGTATTCCTTGAAACCTTATTAAGAAATTTTGAAATATTCTTTTAATTTCTAATAATCCTATTGAAATCTTAAGTAATCATTGAAATCTACTAAAATAACTCTGAAATCTCCTGAAATGTGTTGTAATCTTGATTATTTATATGAAATTTGTAATATTTTTTGAATTGATATTGAAATCTGCAGATACATTACAAGAGATTTCAGAAATTTTGTAATCTTCGTCTGTTTTTTCCTTGGCGGATTGCCCTTCGGAACACACCAATCGCACCATATAGGTTTCTGTCGAGGTTTCTGTGGCATTCTTTGGAAAATGAGGTAGGGGGGTGGGGCGTTGTATAACGACTACATCGACGAAATTCATTAGCTGATTACATAGATTACAGCGAGGATTACAGATAAGATTACGTAGATTACATATAGATTACATAGATTACATATAAGATTACGTAGATTACATAAAGATTCCAGGGCAAACGTACGAAGATTACATCAGCGGATCGCCCCTCGGTGTGTGTGTAAAAAAGGGAAAATAATAAAGTTTTTGGATGATTTTTTTTGAATATTTTAATTGCTCCGAGGGCATTCTCATTTTGGTAAAAAAAACTTTAGAGTATAATAAAACAACACACCAAATTTCATTAAAATTGGTTCGAGTTTTCGCAAAATAATTTTTTGAAAAAAATTTTGAAAAAAAAATTATTTTCAAAATGCTGCACAGCCTCAAATAAAGCATCTAGATACTTGAAAACTTTTTTGCATAGAAAAGACCGCTCAACCTTTCAAATGGTTTTTGAAAAATTGAAATCGGTTGATTAGGACGGCCACAGAAAATTTTTAAAGTTAACACTTTTTTTTTATTTTTAGATAATTAGATTACATTTATCAATTTGCATTTTAGTTTTTTTATCAAAAATTATAGGTAATTGTAAAGTACCATGTTTTCTTATTTTATCTGTATTTAACAAAAAAATGAATTTCCGAAAAAAACAAATTTTTAATTTTTTTAAACAAAAATTATCACATTCTACCGCATATTAAAACACTAGACAGGATATCAGTATGTAATTTTATAGCGCCACTTGCGCCAAAAAATTGTGATTACAGCCCGAGAACACGTATTTTAATGTTAAAACAATAAAGCAGCAGCGTAAGTTTCATATCGTATAAAAGGGGCAATATATAAAACAAGTGAACGTTAGCGATGCACTTTTGTTTCAGTTGTAGTGTGCCCAACTATTCTGAACTTGTCTAAAACTCGTCCGTTAACAAGAACTGGACAACTTTCGGTGTTCAGTTTAGTGCTATTTTTGATAGGTCGTATTTCTTCAAATGTTTGAGTTATATATTTCACGAGAGCTTTTTTCTATACGAAGAACTCTCAGCGGTTGGAGCTCTGCTGTTCGTAACATCTCAGTAGCAACAGAATTCAGTTTAAGGAAAAGAAATTTTGAGTATTTCCAAAAATAATAATATAATACAGTATAATATTGCATAATTCTAGAAAATATTTTGTTAACTGTCTTTTTGTTTCGAAAGTACACACTGCTAAAAATTGTCGCTCGAAATCCATATTTCTTATGCGAATATGTCTGAGGCAGACTACCACAACACTCCTAAGCACCTCTGCAAGCCGTAAAAGAATGATGGACGAATTGAAAAATTCACGGATGTTCCGAAATTCTGCTCGAGGCTCTCCAGACTCTACGAACGGTCTGAAGACACCCAGAATTGAAAAAATAACCGACCTTTCCGATAAATTCACCGACCTTTCCAAATTTTTATCGTTGAGCCGCCAGGACGACAACGAGCAAAATTAGGTGTCGCTGAATCGGACCTTGTAGCAGTCGACCTACCGGGATCCAGCCTGCCTGTGATTGAACACGCACCCGCGGCAATGGTAGTTAGCCAGGGCACGGTACCTGGTGAGTCTAGCACTCGCCATTCCGAAATAATTCGTACTCTTTCGTGTTTGATTTA